TTGTTGTTCCCTGCATTTCTCCTGCAACTGTCTGAGGGAAAATACCATGTCAGTGGTGGATCTATTAGCTCGAAATTCACACTGTGATTCTGGATAGACTCTGTCTGCAAGCACCTGAAGACTATTCAGCACAACACAGGCAAGCAACGTCCCTACAATGCTGAGAAGAGAGATCTCACGGTAGTTATTGCAGTTGCCCCTGTCACCTTTGTTCTTATATAATGTGACAATGTTTGCATCCTTTATGTCCTGTGGTACTCCACCTTCTCTCCAGCAAAGACAAAAGATTTCATACAGCTCAGTGGTGATGATCTCTTTAAAGCACTTCAGCACTTCAACAGGGATGTTATCCTTCCCAGGTGTGTTGTTGGATATGAGGTATTCCAAGACACTTTTATTTGTGCAAAAGTTGGTTCACTGTCCAAATCATTCCAAGACAGGCAGGCACTCAATGTTATTTAATGCCTCTTTGGTTACCACATTCTCTCTTGAATATAGCTCAGAGTAGTGCTGTATCCAGCATTCCATCTGCTGTGCTGGATGATCATGCCTGTAGCAGTCTTCAAAGGAGCAGATTTCTTCTGTATTGGACCTAAAGCCTGCTTGATACCGTCAGACATTCCCTTGATGTTACCTGTGTCCCCTGCTATCTCTATCTGAGAGCAGAGCTGAAGCCAATAATCGTTAGAACATCTCCTGGCAGTCTGTTGGACTTTGCTACGAGCAACTCAAAGAGCCTGCAAGTTGTACTCACTAGGACCGGCTTTGTATGCTGCTGGAACTCTTCTCTTTTCCATGATGGCTGGCATCAACTCCACTGAATGGGCTTCAAACCAGTCTGCCATCTTTTTGGTCTTCTTGCCAAATGTAGACAAGGTGTTATAAACAACGTTCTTGAAATGTTCCCATCATTCAGGTGCATTTTCATCAGCTAGGCCTGGAAGGCTTTCCTCAAGCGCTTGGGCAAATTCCTCCACTTTTCTTTGATTGCGAGTCTTGCTGATGTCAATACGCGGTCTTCCTTCCTTTTTCGTGTAATACAATCTCTTTGTTCGCAGTTTTACTCTACTACACACCAGGGTGTGATCAGTATCACAATCTGCACTCTGGTAGTTGTGTGTGATCCTAATACTAGGAAGGCTAGAACATCTAGTGAGGATCAAATCAAGCTGACGCCAATGCTTGGATCTTGGATGTCTCCAGGAAACTCTGTGTTGAGCTTCATATTAAAGAATGTGTTGCTGACACAAAGACCCCATAATAACAGCAAAACTCCAGCAAACATTGGCCATTTTTGTTCATCTTCCCAGTGACACATGCCTTAAGTATATCCCAGCTGGATTACTGTAGTGCACTGTATGTGAAGCTTCATTTGAAAAGTGTTTGGAAACATCAGGGGGTCAAAAATACAGCAGCCAGGTTGCTGAACTGGGTACAGGGATCACATGCCTCTAAATTCAAAGACTGCCCTACCTCTTTGCTCTGTGCTCTTTCCCTCTCTACATTTTGCTGATGTCTGCTGCTGAAAGCAGTCATGTTTGTCAGTTTGCTGTTTGATCCGTACTAATAATGTCCCAGAGTGAGTTATTGAGACCCTAAGTGCCAATTGATGAGAAAAAAAGGGTGAAGAAATCTGGGGAGCTTGAAGTTCTTCTGCTCTGTGAATCCCTCCATGTCTTCTGGGAATTTAACCAAACATTCAAAACTCTGCAACATTCTGAGCAGAGCCCCAACACTGATAAACTATTAAATAATCCAATGTGTTCTCAAAGGCTTGCAGAACACGGCCAAACAGCCCAGAAAACCCACAACAACCATGCTGAAGAATTCCCTTGGAGAAATTCAGTGAAAAGCCCCCTATTATCGCATCCCATCTTTCCATAGTTGTGCAGAGCTATATGGAATTTACTACCACAGTGTACAGTGGTGGTCCCCAGCCACTGTATACTGTATGCAGCTTTAAGGGACTGGATAGATTAATGGAGGTCAGGGCTATCAATAGTTG